TTCTTCAGGTGATATATATTGGAATTTGAACTGAATTTCAGTTCAAAATTCTAACAAAGACAGTTGCTATACATTTGTTTGAAGAAACAACTAAGAAACATCTCCTTTATACTCTTCATTGTCAATTTGTTATTCTGACTATACATAATTATATACACATATATATGTGAAAGTTTTTACCATTTGTCATACTGACTCTACTACTTTAGTTAATTGCTTTGTATTTGTAATTGAATGGCAGTTTTATTTCCATGCTAATGAACAACACTTTATCAAAGGAGTTTTTTAAAAATACATTAAAACAACAGAATGAATAAATACAAAACAATAAACAGTGGTAGGAGGGCTTTTTTATTGATGAATTTTGTTCACTCTTTACAAATAAGTAAACATCAACAATTGTAAATATTGCTTCCAAAAAAATCACAGGGTATCACTTTCTCTTGATAAGCATTGTTGTATCAAAATACAACTCGGACTTTGTCAAATTGATATTGAAAGAAATTTGTTTTATGTTCTAAGTAACTGTGCATTCATCAAAATTTATTTCAAGCAAAAATGTGTCTGTGTGTAAGTAAGTGACTTTTTCCAGAATTATATTTAACAAGAAAAAAATTGTTTGTATACAAAAAGTTTAAAAAAAACTATACCAAATATTGAAATAATATACTGTTTTGAGAATTAGTTTTTCACTTATCAAAGGAAGAAAAATTTTATGAAAACAATAAAATAAAAGCATATTCAACAGATTAAAAATGTATTATGATGTCAAAATATTAATAATTTCAATAATTTGATAAATTTTTATTATCAAGAGATCATTTATAGAAAAGCTATTTCTAAACCAAAAAACAAAAAAAAAATTGTTTGTGATAAAAGGTAAAAAATCTTACATAATCTTTTTCAAGTATTCTAACATTCTAATATACAATCCAGACTAAATTAACTCTTATCAAATCTGCAATCTAGAGACACAGCCGCTGGAAGGACATCATCCGACAGGACCTGCAGCACATTAATAATGGTACTGGAGGATGTTCAGATGCTCAGCCAAGACTGTGAGAACTAGAGGCTCAACAATTTCATGGCATGAGATTTAGCCACAGTAGATCAAATGTAATTGTAGATTTTTTTGTCATGTAAGCTTAATCAAGAAGGCAGGATATCTCAAAATATGAGCAAATATCTAAATTTCTATAACTTAAATGTAGAATTCCTTATTTTAAGGTGAAAATATATTCGAAAAACATAACTTGCTTTTTAAATGGTGCAAATTGTTACAAATAAATTCTATAAAAGAACTAAAACAAATTTAATTTAAATTTTATTATACTGTTTCATGTTTTAAGTCACAAGTGAAAGAAACTTGCCTTTTTAATTTGAATCACAGTTCTATCGATAAGTGTTATCTGAATGACCATAGTAAGTAAATATTTCAATATCACTAGGACATGTTCATATATTCAATGTAGAAATGTGTTAAAGTATACATTGGACAGCAGTTATTTCACTCAGAAGAATTGGGAGTTATCTATTTTCAAGATGCAAGAGAATTTTCTTCTTTTAGTGTAGATTATATCTGTGTTATTATATTTGATGTAGATCCAAATGCATCAGTTTCAATGTTATGTTTATAAACTAAATTATAGTTTAATTATTACTCGGATAATTAATCCCACATAAAGCAACAAACAGTCATTATTTTCTATGTTATATATAATTCTTTTAATTTTTTAGTCAAACATTTGGTAAAAAAAAAATCTACAAATTCAAACTTTAAATAACACAATTCTCTTTTAAAACTGCTTTCCAGCCAACTTTGATTTTTAAAAATTTAAATGCAATATCAATCATTATCTACTGTCTTCTTGGTTACTCCTCTTTTATTGTTCTCACTCTTTAATAATGTTTCTCTTTTTTTCTTATTCTTTCACATTCAGTAATCCCTCATGTCTTAATGGCTTTACTGTCTTGCATGGGGTGATATGCTTAAACAAAAACAAAAAGCTAGAGAAATAAAATTAGTAAATCTTAGTTGAATATAATAACATTGCTTATCAAGATAAAATCAGGTGAGATCAAATATAATTTTTTATGCTACTGAGGAAAGTAAAATACATCATTAATGCCAAACATAAAATAAACTAAGGACAAAATTAAGAAAAAGACTTTAATTAGTTGCATTTGAAAGACTGTTTTTTTTATATTAATACATATATACAGATATAAAAAAACATTTTACTTATAGAAAGTAACATTCCAATTTTTCTATTTTGTACACTCAAAAACTAACTAATTAGATTGTTTTAATATCCTATATTTAATATACATGTGTTCTGACATTTTTAAATTATTGCTTATAGACTTAAATTTTCACTTAGAACCCAGTCAATATTCTTCAGGGTTTTGCAACAGAATTGACTGATTTTTTTTTTTTTCTCTCATTTTATTTACGACTACTCAGTCAAAATTCAAATGCCAACACTGCAACCTTAAGAACATATTTTGCTTTATTTTTTTCAGGTTTTAACATATATATAGGATCATTCTTTTTGATATTTTTATTTGTTTACAGAACCGGAATGTATTTTCATTTTATGTTTTTGTATTTTTGGAAAATATTAGAACATAGTTCAAATGTAACATTAGTGCAATTAAATATTTTGCTTACACTGTATTTTGACATGCCATACATTTGACTTCTGTTCTGTTAACGAGGAATTTTAGATTTTTTTTCTTCTGAAGAAAAATTGAGTTGAAACTAATCATGTTTATTTTTGTGTATATTGATTCAATGCTATTTTGATACAGATTAATAGCACTGGAATCGAACCATAATCACACCGTAGCACCAGAAGTCAACGATTGTTTTCATTTTGTTGTACATGTTAAGTAATAGTTGTATTTGACATGTCTTAACAATTAACTGTAAATTTATTTCTGGAAGAATTCCTCTCTCTCAAAGCCATTCATAATTTATACAAGTCACTTCTATGACAATGTCATTTAGTCGTATTTATGCACTGGTTTAAAGTATAAGCCATAAATTAACTGAATGTTTTTCAGATACACTTTAATGTCATTAAATTCCAGATTTCCACCTTAACTGTGAACCAACTACATGTTTAAAACATAACTATTAGTAATGTTATAGCAAATTTTTCAATTATACATTATGAATAAACTTTCAAAATTTTATATAAAAAAATTGATAGCGAGTTACTTTCAGACACCCTGTATATTCATGCATAAAAATATTTAAAGGAAAATGCAAGGTGTCACATTTAACACTTTTACATGTTTTGATATTTGACTTATAAATCATTACTACTACTACTACTAATAATAATGAAACAAAAAAAAAAAAACATTGATATTAGTTCAGAAGCCAAATTTCAAGATTTCATCCACAAAAGTCGATGACAGTAACAATTAGTAAGAGAGCAAAAAAAAAAAAAAAAACTCTCTTTACATATTTGCTTCTTATCAGATATCAAATCATGGAATTACTAAGGAATTTATAAAACCAAATTTTGCTCAGTAGCCAAGATCTGAACATCTACTCAAGACTGTTAAACCCCAGTAAAGCTTTTTCTTTCATCACGGCCCATTCATCAAGTGAAATTGATCAATCACTTATTCTTTAGATTTTTTTTTTTTTTTAATGACATAACACTCGTCTAACACACAGATCATAAAAGATATGTCTATAACAGGATCATAAGATCCCAGAGGCACTTAATCATTTATGTAGTGATATGATGGCAATCCTGTCAGCTACTAATCTACTTGTTACATTAATTTTTTCTCTTTGCACAATCATTTTCATCATAAAGACCCTTCTGAACAGCACTTCATTTAATGATGATTTGGACATGTAGATATTGCAGGTTACTAATCCTTTTACCTTCATTTGAAATAAGTTTCTTGTGGTAATGATTGTTACCAATACAATACTAAAAAAATGGAACTTTTTCTACTACTGAATGTTAGTGGTTAATAAAAATTATCTAATAAGATGTGGAGCAGTTATACTTTCTTCAAGAAATTTCCAGCAATTACAACAATCATTTTTTTTTTTTTTTACTGCAAATGACATGCTTTATTTACTGTTTTGCTTTTTGAAGAGATTGGCCTATATTTATCTTTTACTCTCCAATTAGTGAATTTTTGCTTTGTTTTTAAATAACTGAAATTTTCACATGATTAATTATTTGATTTAAGTGCATAAATAAAAAATAAGAAAGAATAAATAAAAAATAAAGTTGCTATAAAGAAAGAATAAACAAAAAGTTTCAACAAAAAAATAAAGTTGCTATAATATTCAAAAATAAAATATTTTCTTAATTTATTCCTTATTCATAAACATTAACATCCAATAATTTTTAAGTTTAAGTAGAAAAAAAAATAATACAATAACTTTTGCACTACTTACAAATTTCCACTTTAACAATTTTTTGTTTCATATTTAAATTAAGAACACTTTCTAATATCAAATGTTCATGTAATTATTAATCTAATAATTCAGTTTATGAAAACAATGGGCTTATATTGAACATATAATCTGTTTAGTATTTTTTTTAATTATTATTTTTTTTTTTTTTTTTTTACAAAGACATTTGATTAGGATAAAAGGAAAAAAAAATTTTTAAATGATTTTGTTCTTTGAAGCACTCTCCAAATTTGTATTAAAAAACTTTCACATATCTTTAAAATTTACTTATTTATTTTGTGGATTCTGCAATGGCTCTATGTCCAGACATGGTTCACTTAGTCGCCTCTGAATCCACTGATGAATTGCTGCAAGACAAAGTCTTCTTCAGAACTGAAAGGCAACCATGTCTCAAAATTTACTATGAATATGTAATTTAGAAAAAAGTTATTATAATGGATCCTAAAAGTTTGGTCCCAAAATGATTATACAAATAAAAATTTTTAAAAAAGTACACATTGCTTAAAAACTATACTTTTTATTCTCATAAAGCTTATGAACACATCATGTTGAAACACCAGTTCTCATACGATCACTAAAAGTAAACAATGTTGAGCCTTGTCAGTACCTAGATAGATGACCGCTTGGGAATATCAGGTGCTGTAAGCTTGGATGTGTGAGTAGTGTAATGGATAATGGCTTGAAATTGTTAATTGGAGAGCCAAGTTCAAATTCCCGTTGGGTTTGTTATATTCATTTACACGCAAATACCCTTTGGAAAGCTGTGAATTGACCTCCTCTATAGGTTAATTAGTAAGACATATCACTAAATCATTATTATCTCAAAAAAAAAAAAATCTTACAATCTATAAATATTTTCTGACTTTAAATAGAAACTTTTAGTCAGGTTGTAAATACAACTTGTAATAAATAGCCAATAAAATTGATAATTCATTGCAAATACTTCACCAATAAATAGTTATAATTCAAATATTATTTTCAATTTAGGAATATAATCTACCTTATATCAGTTATGTTTCAAAAAAGAAGTCATTGTATATTTAAGATAAAATTGGTGAAATATTTTTCTAATTTTTGCCATATCAACTTGGACAAGTTTTGAAAAATACAAAATAAAGTTACATGAGGATTTTCATTTATTTTTTATTTATTTTTTTTTACTTTGGATGATTTTGGAAATATGCCTTAATTTTCTCACACCCACTTCTTTTAGAAATTCTTGAAAACAAACCTCAAATAATAAATATGCAAAAATAAAATGGTTCAAAACTCAAAACAATCTTCATATTAATGATACTCTTTTTAACCATAGGGTTCAATTCAATAGGCCAAGTAACTTTAGTGTCACAACTTGAACTATTTTGAATGTGAATAGTTTATCTAAGCAATTTTTAAACCTTTTGATAATTTATTTTTACTTATTTCTAAATCTTCAAAAAAATTAATACTTAAGTTTCATCAGGAAAAATACTTTTGAAAGCATTTTTTTTTTTATCTATTTACTTATACAAATTTAAATTATCAACTGATAGTTTTGTTTTCTTACACTGCCTTTTATAAAATAATTTTCCATGTTTTATATTAAAAGTAATTTATCAAATCCTATAAAAGGTAAGTGAGTGCAAAAATAAGACTTAAAAAAGCAAACTGACATTATTATAACTTTTTATTTTTACATTTTGGTCATCAATATACTAATATCTTTCTTATTAGCTTTTCTAATGAGCTAATAAATACTTACGCAGTTTCATTATTGAAGAAAGACAAATATTAATACTTTCTTATAATGCTACCTTAGCTGATAACAGATGTAGTTTATATACATTATATAGTCCCTCATCTTTAAGTTATCATGACGGTTTTGTATACTATTTCTGAAGTGATAAACAAAACAAATAATTACCATTTATTAATAAGTGCTGAAGAAGAAAGGTTACTAATTTAAAAAAAAAAATAAATAAACTTCTTTCAATACTCATACTAAATATCTGTAGAAAATTGTTTAATATATAATGACTTCACTGTATTAGTTTTAGTTATTCTGCAATTTTTATTTGCATTAACTTATGGTTTCTACTTTTCTATTCCTAATGTTTCAATCAAATTTGTATGAAGTTAGAGTTTAGATCTGCAGTTTTATGTGTATTATATATATATATATATATATATATATATATATATATATATATATATACACACACACTAGAATTTAAAGTTTGATGGAATAAGCAGACAAATTTCTAATATAAAAATTATTCATGTTTAATAATTTTTTTTTTCCAATATAGGCTTCTGTCAGTAAATGTGTTGAGTTTAAGTGAACATAAATAAAATGTAATTGAAAAGGCAAATAAGTTTATTTTCACAATCAATGTTGTTCATTAATGTCTGCTATAAATTTGAGTATACTTTGTTGAATTTAAATTATCATATGTGCTGCAGATTTGTACAGAAGCTTTAAATTGCAGAGCAAGTGTGAGGTGGAAATGGTTCAGTGACATCAGTAGTAGGAATTCAATTTGATCAAATGAAGCCCTAAAAAACCAACTATTGAATTCATAAGAATCTATGACACATAAAAAAAGGGGTTTATTCAATTACAGTCAACTTATTTGCCTTCAAGTGAAAAGACTCAGAAATTGAAAAATAATGTTTCATATAAATTATCAAAATAGAAAAAGCAAATAAAGAAACAAGTTTTGAAATTTTTTTTCCTTTTTGAGTAGGAAAACAATCAAAAAAAAAAAAAAAAAACATTCTACAAATTTATTCAACTAAGAGCAAGAAATTCCAATAAGAAAAATATTTTGAAAAGTGTTGATTGTAGTGACATATTATATAGAGCAAGGCAATGCACCAATTTTATATTGAGGTTCAAAAAAGTGGGAATTATAAAAATTATTACTAGTAAAAGTATCATCGTTTTTGTTTTTATATCATTTTATAACATTTTATTAAAAATTTGGACAGTTCAGCAAAGTTCAGAAGTTTTTTGTTTTTTTTTATAAATACCGATATTTCAGAATTGTTGTCTTTGTTTTTATAAATGTTCTTAACTTAGGTATTTTCAATTAAAAGGAAGGAAATTAAAATAAAACATTGATTAGTACGTTAATTGAATAGATATTAATTCTAATCTCAGAATGGAAAATGCTGCTATAATTTAGCCTATAAAATAGAAGAACATGATCAAGAAGTTATTTAAAGATAAGAACATGCAAGAATTTACATGATATACTAACTCAAAACAGAATCAGCAATTCTTTAAGAACTGATAGTAGTGTTTATTTGTTAACAATCTCTGAAATTATTAACATTTAGGTACTGGCCACAGTAACTGTTCTTCAACTTTAATTATGTTAGTATTGGGTGTTGTTTGTTGGTTGGTTTGTACAAGCTTAGAATTGACTAGTCTCCAAAAAAAATGATTTTTTTCCTACTCACAACATGAAATTCTTAAAGCAGTTAACAATAGTCAGTGTGGCTTTTGATGATTATTCAGATGTACCTGGGGACATAACTCCTTCATTTTCACAATTCCTTATAAGCTTTTAATTTGAACACAACTTACAAGGTTTTGCTGTAGCACCAGAATTCTCAAATTGCCACTTATTTGAGTTATGAAAATAATTGACATATTTTCTTTATTATTATTACAACCAGTCTTTGTAATCTGCTGTGTTTTATACACAAACAGATTTTAACAGTGAACCTTATAAGTATGTGACCAAAAACAATAGAGCATGAAAATAATTAACAAAGACAATAGCCCAAAAATATCAGTATGAAGTATTTTGCATAATCAGTATTTTTTCTTAATAATTGCCATTTTTTTTTTCTTTACTGCATTTGATAATGGAAGGTGAAGGTCAGTTCATTTGAAAATGGATCTGTTGCCTCTACACAATAAAAGGACAATAATGAGAAGTACCAATATGAACAAAAATAGCTGCATTGTTGGTAAATGGCATTTGTGTTGGAAATATATGCCTACTGTACATGAAGATATGTGCTTGTGTGGTATAACTATTTGGATATGATTAGCAGTAAAGGTAAAACTTAATGAGAATTAAGTCATCCCCATAAAACATACTATAGCAATGCTTTATAAAATTCTACTTCTCACCAATATTTAAAGATTAACATGTAGATGAAAGTGACATCTTAGAGAATCTGGTTACTTTCATCACTTAACATGATGAAAACTAAACAAAAAAAAAAGCTATGAAAATAGAAATGTTTTTCACTCTATATCTATTGTCCAATAAAATTTAGAGTAATACTTACTAACACTGTTGTTTTTTCCACTTTATGACCAAATATTTGCTAATTAAAGCACACACAAAGAAATTAACCTTTCATAGCCAAGAGTTAGTGTCCATGTTAAAATAACTAGCATTGTAGAATATATAATTCTGATGTTGACATGAATATTGAAATTCATTCTTAGGTCAAAAATCATCTTCGCCTAAAGAAACAAATATGCTTACTTATGTTGTTATTAACCCCCACCACACTAGCATTGTACTCAAAATATCTATCATTTTAATCTCCTTTGAATCTGAAAAATTATTTCAGGTATAACCTGCTGCATAAACATAATTCTTTTGTTTTAAGAACAACAGGTACTATTTTTTTTTTCTTTTGTTAAAAGTAAATATGAAATACACTTTTAGAGTAAATAAGAGTGTTTCTAAGCAAAGTTTTCTCATTGTGAATCTATATTCACTATAATCATGATTGTGCCAATGAAGAACACAAACCACATTTGGTTTGATTGAAAATAAACCAAATAGCTTCATTTTTTTTTTTTTTGTTTTGTTTTTATCCCTTCTTTACAAATGTCCAAGTAATTGTGATTTAAATATTTAAATTAAAACAAAAACATTATAAATAAAACCACTAAATTAACTTAATATTGGATAACACTGACAACAAATAATTAATGAGACAAAAAATGAAATGAATATATTTAGGACTAGGTTAAATAAAGCAGTAGGGAAAATTTTGGAAACAGTAGAAACTATTATGACAAATAAATATAGTAATGTTTTGTTATCTCTCTAGTTTTATTCAAAGAGATCAAACATATTAACAGAAAGAGGAATTACAAAATTATATTTGAATGAATGAAAATGTAGAGTTGTTTTCATTAAGCACATTTATTCTCTTGTATATCAAGATAGTGGCCGTTTTAAACCATTTGTGTTAAAATAACAATTTGTATGTGTGCGTGTATATATATATATATATATATATAAAATCAGCTGAGGTATTGGAGGATATCAATGTATTTTAGGTTTCTAGGATTTTATTAGGATAATATAAATGGAGGGAATCAAAGGAGTGTGCAATAATGATTATTCAGTTATATAAACTGGAACTTCTAATATCTCTCGATATAAATAAAAAGAATTAATCTTTAAGATACCTAAATTTGTATGAAAATATTAATTGTTAGTTTTTTTTATGCTTGGAAATAAATTGATATAAGGTTTGATGGTATAAGTTCAATTAGCGTAAGTGTTATTTTTGTGAATCTTTGAAACTCAGGCCAAATGACTTGGACGACATTAGCATTCTCTATGATTAACCCTAAAGTCAATTGTGTCAAAAAAAAAAAAAAAAAGAAAAGAAAAATGCACA